TCATCAACAGATACACAACGTACCTGTCAAGTGGAGCTTCGAGATGGGTTTTGACTTATAATGGAAACCAGACACAGGGATCCTTTGTGTCTTTTCAACATGTTGTGATCCCTTGAGTCTCTGTCAGCACTTTGCATAGCACCTCATGATAGGCTCTCTCTCTCTCATTTTCTTTTTTCTTGATGGTGCTGGGGATTAAACCCAGTGCCTAGCACATCCTAGGCAAGCACTCTACAGCTGAGCTTCCCCTTCAGCCTCCAAGTCCTACCTTCTTAGGCAAACAGGCCAAGCCTTCTCATTTCTTTCCCTGCTGCTTAGCTCCATGGCTAATGGGCGGTAATTGCTTTATGAGCATTTCTTAGTGAATGAATAAGTGAGTGATTATGAGTCATGGAGAATTCTCTAGAGTAGCTCTTAAAGGCCTTGTGAGGACTTGTAAAAATCAGAATGCTGGGCCCCAAATTCCGAGTTTCCAAGCTAGGTCTTGAGGTGGCCTAAGAATTTGCAATTCAGATAGATTCTCAGGTGATACTGCTTCTGCTGCCGGTCTGGGGCACTCTGGGAAAGTCACTGCTCTGTGGAGCAGATGCTACCATGGTTTGCTATGTAGCAAAAACCCCAGCCACTACTTTTGGCTAAGGGAGACACCTAGAGGGGGGTTTTAACTGCTTCTCAGTCATAGGATAAAATTGGTGTCTGAATGCCCAATTTTGTTATGAAGAAGGGACTGAAGTCCTAAAAGTGGTTCGATTTAGCTGAGGTGGCTTAAAACACACTGCTGATCTCATCCTCACTGCTAATGTGGAAGTCATGGTTGTATTAAACATGATCGCAGATGACACTATCTTAGGACAGAAGCCAAGAAGAAAGGAGTATCCCCTGTGGATGTGCGTGTTCCTCATACACTGAAGAAATTCAGAAGGTGTCACATCCCATGCCCTCCACAGATCTCCAGGCACTGATGTGCTCACACTAGCTCTGAGGCATGTTCTTTGCTGTGCTTAGGTCTATGTCAAAGTTATCACGAGAGAACTTGCCCTGCAGTGGGCTGAAGGCGATGGCATTCTACACTCAGTGTTCAGCCCACTGCGTCACCTCGTGATGATCTTGACCAGCTGATCTGGGTGGGGCTCTGCTGTGCTTGTTCAAGCATCTGTCATCCTTGAGAGACATCTCTCTCTCAAGGACCAGTGAGTGGGCCCACAGGTGCCCTCTCAAGTCTCAGTGGAGGTCTTTGTGAGAGCAAGCTGAAGCACAGAAGGGCTTTTGGGTCTTGGATTTATAGTTGGCTTGCCATCACTTCTGCCTCATTTTGTTAGTCATACAAGTCACAAGGCAAACCCAATACTAAGGCAAAGGGTGTAGGTCCAGGTTGGAGTGATGAATTAAGACAATAAGGCAAGAAATAACAGATGGTACAAGATCAATTAACACAGAAGTCCATGAAGAATTATAAAGCAGGGTTCTGGTTGAAGAGTGAGCATGGATGTTACTTTTGGTCAGCATTTTGGTGCTCAAGGAGACCCATAGGGTCTTGTCAGGACTGCACCATTATAATTAAGGCATGTTGTTTGCTGTCCTAGTATGTCCCCAATTTTGAGGCTTCTAAGCATGCCTGATAGTTGATGTGTCTCAATGAGGGCTCTTATCTGGCTTGTCACATTCTAAACAAATGCCTTGCCAATAGCAGTATAAACGAGGCAGCAAAATATGAATAACATCTCTCTGCTGACTATACCAGTCGCCCCATACACAGACGCACATCAGTGCCTGTATGCACACACACACACACACACACACACATACATACAGCCACATCTCCATGCTCTGAAATGTCCTTCTCCACATCAGCCAAGGAGAGGAAACAAAAACAGTCTCTCTCAGCTCCTGCTGCCCCCAGGAGGCAGCTGCTGCTGGCTGTGGGTCATCCCTAAGTTTCAAAGTCACTTGATGTTCACAGAAAGGGGTGTGTCTAAAGACATCCAGTGTCTCTGAGAGCCCACAAGTATGACAGCAGGGGCTCTTTTGTTGCAGGTGGTGGGACTGGGGTTTGAACTCAAGGCTTGATGCTTCTAAAGCAGGTGCTTTACCACTTGAGCCACACCTCCAGTCCATTTTGCATTGGTTGTTTGTTGTGGAGATGGGGGTCTTGCAAACTATTTGCCTGGGCTGGACCTGAACCTCAAGCCTCTGGATCTCAGCCTCCCAAGTAGCTAGGATTACAGGCATGAGAACAGCAGGGCTTACTGAGGGGACTAGTATGGGGAGAGGGGGAATGGGGAAAGGTAGAGAGTGGTTTTCAGCCTCAGAATTTATTTGCCATCACCTATCAACAAGTCAGCCAAAAGACCCCCATTAGGGGGCTGAAGGAGAAACAAGGCAACACACACAAACAAAAATGGATTCCTTCTTCACAAGACTTTTATCATTGGAATGAAAGGATTTTTCTCCTGTGTCTGTTGATCAAACCCTGATCTCATATCCTTTGGCAAAAAGTACATTGTCCAAGTATGTCAGAGTGATTATAGAGAGGGAAAGTACATCAAGTTTTACAGTCCTTGAGGTGTTACCATTTTAGTATTCCCATTTTACTGAGGAGAAACTGAGGCTTTGGGAATATAAGCAACTTGCTCAATGGAGATCCCAATCCAGGTGTCACTTTGCTGCCAAATCTCTCCCACCTTCCTAGGCTTGGAGTGCTCCATGGGTTTCTAGAAGTGAGCCTCAAGACCTGAGAAGACTTACAAAGTCTTCTCAGAGAATTGCCCTTGTCCAAACCAAACTTCCTTACCCAAGATTATTCCCCACATTGGGGGAATATCCACAGCTGACCCATTGGAGGCAAAAGACACAGCTCCCTGAGTCTATCACAGCCATCTCTGGAGGGCCACCCAAACCTCAGAGGTCCTGGGACTGGCTAAGGCCTCCCTTTTCACTGAATTATCTCTGCCTCCTGCTCTGTCCTGCTGGCTTCCCTTGCTGTCTTGCAGATGTGGACGACATCCCAATAAGCCTGCACAAATCCCATTTGACTCTAGGTGGGCAGCAAGTACAACCAGACATTGCCCAGAGGACTGGAAATATTTGGTGAGTGACATTAGGACAAAGTTCTGGGGAGATCACAGAAAGGGTTGGCAGAACTAGAAATCCAAATCCCTCATTGACCTTTGAGTGCTGCCTTGGATCTACTCTGAACAGTGCTTCCATTGACTGAGTTGTTGCTCATGGAAAACTAGCTAGAACTTCACTGTCTGCCTTGTGCACCCCTCCTCATGGTTTATCATATCCTGAGCTGTCCTCTGCTCTCTCTTCCCATCTTATGTTGCCTGATCCCTGGGCCCAGCTCAACTGGCCCTTGATGGTCAAGCTGGCTCCTTCTCTGGAATGGAGAAAAATAAAGAGTTCAAGATACCTTGATTTGAAACCTATTTGACTCCAAAGTGCCCTGCTTTACTCTTATCAGTGGGCAAATGGGTCATTGCCTGTCACATCATCAGTTAAAGAATGTAATTCTTAGAGGCTCGGTGGCAGATGGCCCTGCTTAGGCACAGACAAGACTGGATAAAGCAGTGACACCCACCTTCCACAGTCTCCTGTGGGGGTGTTTTCCGACATTGCTGTGTGTTGGGTCAGGGCTGCCTAAAACAGCCAAGCAGTGACCTTGAAACCACATCTGATGACAATGACCAAATAGCAGACAATGAAGGAATTTTACAAAGTGCATCCATTTCCATCTATTGAGTGGCTGTTTTGTCATGTGATTCTCCCCAAACCTTATGAATTCAATGCAGTTTGAATTTTCATTTTACCAGTGAACAAATAGAGGCACAGAGAGTTTGAGTAACTTACTAGGAAGTGGAGCAGCTAGGGGTTGAGGGCAATGTGACTTCAGACTCTTTGCTCCTCCTCACCCTCGCTACTCCTTGATTAAGTCTAGCCGTCTATTCCTTTAATATACAGTAATCACTGTGCCATGTTCCAGGCTCTGTGCCAAATACTGGAATACAGCCCAAATCCACTGGACCTCACCATAGGCCATTGCTCAGTGTCATGCTGTAGTGGGTGTCACACAATACATTTTCCCCAGTAGTTAGTGCCAGGGGAAATCATGTAGGATGATATTTTATGCATGTTTCGATAACAAGAACTATGTAATTTACCTATTACATATTGCTTTGGCTGCCAGGAAGCTCATATCCAAATCAGAAGAACTCAATTGTAGTTAGAAGTTAGCATTTTAGTTTTCTGAACTTTTCCTCTGGCCCAGATTTTCTATTTTGGCTTCCCACATTGTCATTTATTGTAAAACATCTTAAATTTTTCTTAGAAGGAGACTGCATGAAAACGATGAAATCTTTAACTGCTTGTTCTTAGAATCCTAAGGGGGAAGACAGACCTAGCTGTCCCTCTTACCCTAATTCCCAAAGCACTCCACTTAATGAAATTCCTTGAGTAGTGGCTATTATAGTTGGAACCCCTGGGAATAGCTCAGAATTTCTGAAAGGTCACATCCACTTATGAAAAAACAAAACTTCCTCAAGTCATGGCTCCAGCTTTGGTGTCAGGTGCACATTTGTGGGAGCAGGCGACCAGACGGACTCTCACCTGAGCAGTTAAGAAAATCTATTGCTCCTTGATGCATTTTTCCTGCAAGCTAGAATTGATCTGTCCTCTTTGTGATTTGTGAGATGGCAGGGAAACACCAAACACCATCATGGCTTGGGCCACTTTGGAGAGAAAAAAAAAAAAAGAGAGAGAGAGAAAGAAGGAAAAGGAAAAAGAAAGCCCCTGCTAAGGCTTTCCCGGTGTAGAAAGAGCTGGAACTGCTGGGGTATTTTATTTGATTTATTGGAAATAAAGTGGATCTTATTAACATTTTAATAAAGAGAATCTTTTTGCACTAGACTGGAAGTGGCCGCCAGTCCCCGGGTGCAATTCCATTCTTTGGGAAAGTGGAATCTGCTGGCATCCCCAGCGTGATTTGTGAGGCTGGGCCCCAGCAGTCCAAAAACTGCGAACGTGCTGCCTCCTCTGAGGGGCTCGCTCTTGGCGAGGTGCTCGCCCCGTATCTGCCATGCAAAACGAGGGAGCTTTATGAAGGAATCCGTCTTGTACAGCCATTGGTCCTGGTCATCAGCCTCTACCCAATGCTTTCGTGATGCTGCCGCTGATCTATTTGGGAAGTTGGCTGGCTGGCGAGGCAGAGCCTCTCCTCAAAGCCTGGCTCCCACGGAAAATATGCTCAGTGCAGCCGCGTGCATGAATGAAAACGCCGCCGGGCGCTTCTAGTCGGGCAAAATGCAGCCGAGAACTCAGCTCGTTCTGTGCGTTCTGCTGTCCCAGGTAGGGAAGAGGAGCCGCCCGCGCTGCGCACCGGGCTCTGCATTCCGATCGCCCGGTGCGGCTAAGGCGAGGGGGCGATTGGAGGGTCTGGGGGGCTCCGGGCGCGGCAATGGTGACAGACCCGGGCTTGGAAGGGAGGTCATCTCCAGCCCCACGGTCGTAGATCATAGGGGGCCGTGGCTTCCCACTCCTGTGTGCGTGTGTGTGTGTATGTGCGTGTGTCCGGGGCAGGAGGACCGAGCTCCAGAGTCCTGTTTTCCAAGCAGGGGCGACATTCTCGCCTACATCAAGTGGGGGTAACTTTGGTTCGCCTCCTCCCGAGGCTCGTGCATTGGAGAGAGACTCGGTTGGAGGCGACTCCAAACGATTGGTGTCCCCCCCCCCCCACACACACACACTCCGCCAGCCCAGCGCGGCAAAGCTAAAGCGCTGCTTGGGTCCGGATTGCGGGCAGCCTGGCTGGAGAGGCCGAGCTGGCATCGCTGACTTCCCGGGGTGCCCGTCCCCGTGGCTTAGCCTCGCGGCGAGCTGGAAGGCGCCTCGGGCCAGCAAAGTGCTGCAGCCCGGCTGCTGCTGTCGCTCAAAGCGCCGGCGCTGGCCGCGCCCGCATCGGGCTCCTCTTCCCTCTTAGACCCTCGGGCGGGGAAGGGCCTGAGCGCGTCCCCCACCGCCAGGGCGCAGGCCCTGGTCCCCAGCCCCCCGCGCCCCCATTGTCCAGCCAGCTGGAGCTCCGGCCCAAGCCCAGCCTGTCGCCTCTGTTGCTTTCCCCCGGCGGGCGGCGCGGAGCGCAGAGAAAAGTTCAAGCCTTGCCCACCAGGCTGCAGCTGCCTGTTAACCCTCCCGGTGCTACTGCGCCGGCAAGGGAGGCACACCAGGAGAGGGGGCGAGGGCGACGTGGCCCTGGGCGATCGCCTCGGCTGCCCAGAGAGCTCAGGAAGTTTGTGTGCAGGAAAACAGTGCTCCAAGGCCAGGCCTGAGGAGCTGGCGGCTAGGGGGCACGCCCAGCCCTCCTCAGGGGCCGGTGGCTACGGAGAGCACCGTGACCCAGTCCCTCAGAGCTCCCTGGCATCCTCTGGGACCCTGAGTGAGCTGACACCATGGGTGGGCATGGAAGGGCAGGGCCAGGCAGATAGGTGGGAGGACACAGGGAGTGTCTCCAGGTGCTGAGTTTCTGGTCAGGACTCCTGGGTGCCAGAGGCAAAGGCACATGTGTGAGCTTGGGGGTGAAAGCAAGGGAAGGAAGTCAAGGTCTCAGGTAGGGACTGGCTGTGGTGGGGGAACCTATGCAGACTTCTGAGAGGAGACCACCGCTGGATCTGTGGTGGAGTTAGACTTTAGAAATGGGGCAGAACCCCAGGAATGGAATGACCGTGGACATGACCCAATGGAGTGGGTAGATGATCTGCCAGGGGCTAGAATAAGGTGGCCAGCTGCTGAGCTCTGCTTCCCTACTTCCGACTTCTCCTTCTCTGGACATGCAGCCCCCATTCAGGACTGTTTCTCTTCTGGAAGGATTTGCTGGCTGCTTCTCTTAGGGTCCTTGTAACCCTCAGTCCTTCCATGGATCCTGTGCCAGTTTTCCGGAAGTCCTGAACTCTGATATACCTAAGACTTATGCTGTACATGTATCCCAATTCAGCAAGGTGGGTCAGAGCATGCCTCAAATGGAAAGAATGGAACAGATCTTTTCTGCCATCGGCTAGTGGTACCACCAGGGGCAGGTCCCTGGTTCTCCACTGTGAAGGAATCTGAGGTCTTCCTGGGACCGCTGGTCTTCCTGGGGCTGCATTCAAGAGGAGGTGCTAGGTAATGCGTTTCCCAAGGTGGGCCACCCTGGGAGCTGTTGACATCTGGGCACTTAGCTTTGCCTTCCCCAGGACTTTATAGTCCTCTTTCTCTTTTGGTGTGTTTGTACCACAGTCCAGATTCTAGGGTTTACCCAATGTTATGCCTTCCTCCGAATACCCCAGTGTCCTCCTGCACTGAGGGGTCATCGTACAGCGCCTTTTGCAAAGCAACTGGCCCATCTCCTCTGCCAGGGCCTGGCTGGCACTGGGGGGTGGTGGGTTTGGTGGGCTCCAAAGGCTCACGTAGTTGCTCTAGAATGGGAGCTGAATTGCCCAGCCTGAGGGGCTTATTTCTCTCTTAGATTGTTATTCATAATCAGAGCAATTGTCCACATCAGGACAGTAATTGATGTCTCAGTAGCCATAGCACCTGGAGGAGAAGTCATCTTGATGGTGTGATTGAGTTCACCAACAAGAGGTTCGAGTACAGAGCTCTGTGTGTCATGTAGAAAAGTGGGGAAAATCTTGGAAACTTTGAGTCAACAAGCAAAACCAAAACTTTCCTGAGGCAAAGAAAACAGAAGAAAGGGAAAAACAATGTAATAAAGCAAATTAGTCACTGTGGTGACTGTAGTCACTGTAGTCACTGGTGGTGCTCAGGCAGGCCTGTGTGTGTTTTTCCACTGCAGTTGTAAGGCGCTGGCCCCAGCTTTGGAAGCCATCAGTCTCTGTAAGCTTATTGGCAGGCTTGCCATTTTTGGTATTTGGGCAGGGCGTGAGAAATTCTGAGTAACAAGACCCGGAAGCTGGCAAAGTTGAACCACAATCACTCTCCTTTCCCTTGGGGTATTTTGGGAAAGACCATCCCAGAAGTAGCTTCTGGAATTTAGCTACGATAATGAATGCAAAACGAACTAGAGCAGCATGAGCTAGAAATTCCTCTGTAAATATGAATTCCCTGTCCCCACTTGGTAGCACTTTAGCCCAAACTTCTAACAATGCATGAGTAATCCCCCAAGAATTAGGATTTTAGGGAGTGGTTCAGGTCTGGAGAGCAGTCACTTGGGAGTGCCTAATAAAAGCAGAGCTTTCCATGGAATTCTGAGATTTTGATTTAAAATGGAGAGTTCAGAATCTTGATTTTCAATATTTTCAGTGAGAACCCGTCTTCTAGTGAGACTGCAACTCTGTATGTTGTATTTTAAGAGTGGTGTTTTATGTGCAGAATCTTTCTTATGCGAGGAAAGAGTCAGAGTGGTGGAGAGCACCCTTGTCCATGATTTCAACATGTGGCCGATTATAAAATTCCCAAAGCACTGGGGAAACAGAGATGTAAGTGGTGAAAGGAATCACAGTGATAGAGTTCATGTGTCTGAATACTTTAGCAACTCCCAAAAGAGATGTAATAAGCAGCGTGAGTATGTGATCTGGATTTGTGTAACTCCACAATCTATTCTGAAAGACTCAAAAGTTCTCTTAGTTGATTTTACCTACTCTGCCTCATTCCGTTCTTCCTCTTTCCTATCTTTAGTGCTTGGGTTTTCCTAAGTAAAATCTATTTCCTTCTAGAAGTATCCTCTGTGAAATCGCCCAATAAATCAACACACTCAGTAACTGCAATATTTGAAAGTTCCTGCATTGGGATGTATAAACTGATCCACCATCTGAGGTTCACTTTTTACGTGAAAACATAGCAGCTAAGTTCTTGAAAATTACCCTTTGTCTTTCCTTTCCCAAACACAGTTGCTTGGGGAGTCCAGATAATTTCTTTTTGTGGTGGACAAAGAAAGAAAAACCATGGATCAATTCATACTTGGATGACAGTCATGTAATCTAAATAGTCAACAATATCGCTCTGTGTGTGCGTACACATGCATCTTTGTGTGTTTTGGTCTTATTTTAATACCTGTTGAAAAATTCCTCCAGAAGAGGGCTCCATTCACAGCATTACAAAATTTTGAATCTACAGGCCATACTGTAAGCACTGAACTTCAGTGTAACAGCTCCATCAAAATACAACTATTTCCCTTCTTTTAGCTCTCCAGATGAGTACTACCGCTTTTGCTGGAGTGCCTTTCCTTTCTTCTTTCTTCCTTTTCTCCTGCTGTAGGTAGTTCTGTTCTGCCTTATTCTTCCACCCTGCTTCCCCTTGGAATATTACAGCAGGGACAATTTCAAAGGGCTTTGTGGACAATGCAATGTAGAATGTGAGGAAGTTCTGAGATTTCCTGGCATTTGACTTCAGTTGGACCTGGCTTTATTCTTTAGGCAGCCAAGAGGCAGGAACGGTTCTGCCTGTGAAGGGAGATGATCTTCCTCCTTAGGTAACTACCCAGCACTCAGGAGCCTGCACTCCATTCTCCACCACCGGTTGAAAAGGAGAAGGAAACATCCATTTGTCATCCAATTACAATAATCAGCTGGGCAGAATCAAATCCAGTGACCAGTAGTATGGACATTGCTTCCATTTAGCTGTCAGCAAGGAGTCTACACGCCTGTGATGATCTGGTCCTCCTGAGGGATACTGACAGCTCAATGTAGCCTGTCTCCTCTGCAGCCTCGAGATTGGCTGGACCACTGGGGCCCTTGCACCTATGGCTGGCACTCAGTGGTTGCCACATCTAGGGTTAGGGAGGAAATCCATCTTTCTCTTTTGAGAGAAGCAGCTATGGGGAGGCTAGAGAAGAGGAGAAATATCAAACTTGAAGTGCCCCTGGAGGCAGAGCGCATGGAGGAGAATGGACCACTCTTTGGGTTAGCATATTTGACCTCAAGTCATTGACTTGGTAGTATCTGTCACAACACTGCAACCATGACTTCTAAGAAAGATTGCAAAGTGGCAGCTGAATCTTTTGAAAAGTGAGAAATTAAGCATTAAAAACCAAAACAATCCCAGTTTCTTGCATTTCTTAAAAAGTCAGGTCAGGCAACCCTAGATCTACATTCCCGCAAGGCTGGTCCTCGTTGGGTGGAGCTGCGTTACTACCAACCCCCTTTAGGAGAGACATGCTTCTGCATTTTGCCACAGTCCCCTCCACTCCCTACAACACTCAGCACACTGTATTCACTGATTTTACTCGGCCCCCTAGCAACATGAGTTTGAACTTCTGCTTTCATAAATTGCCAGGCTTGATCAAATTGATTCAGTTAAACAGAAAAGGATGGGACTGGCCTCCAATCAAGGAGATTCCCCCGCCCTTCGCCACCACCCCC